TCAACAAGTTCAGTGTCTTAGCCAATGAACCACCGCATCCCTATAGATTTTATTTAGAGCACAGCAAAGTTTACTTCAGTTAATGAGCCCAGAACCTGACTATAAAAGATATGCATGTCTCTTTTTTTTGTTTCTGTTAAAAAAAAATTGAAAATGACTTACCTTGACTATGCCACGGATGTGCATTTTTGCTATCATCTCTGCCGTGTAGAGAAACATCAGCAACGTATCAAGAGCAAATGTCACATACTGCAGGGGAGGATAATGCTCAAAGGTCTTTGGGGTATTCATGCACACCGAAATGACACTGATAATGGCACAGATGCGCAGTAAAGAATGCACCCACTGAGGAATACAAAACAGCAATAAAGTTTTTATCAACTCGTATAACTACGTATACTTTTTAATGTTGTTTCACATCTAACAGTTTAAAATAACATACTGAATGCAAAAAAAATGTTTAGGTATTGAATGCTTCTACTGCTAAAAACATCTACTATTATATCATATACTGTAATAGGAATTAAAACAATTACTCTTGCTCATTGGTCCTTTAGCACTATTCATGTATAGTCCACCCTTGATCTCAGCGCTGATGAGCTGAGCTGTTTTTTTAGCTCAGCTGAGGTGCAGCAAACCACTCTGTCATGCGAATCAGCTGAGCTAAAAAACAAGGTAATATAGAACAGGGAATGATGGGGGCGAGAGGCCAACCAGAGGTGGTATTTGCTGGTTCTCCAAAATACTCAAAATTTCCGCTACCAGTTCACCCGAACCAGTCCGAACCAGCTGAATACCACCTCTGGCACCATGTAAATGAGACAGTTTCCCCTTTCCCTCTGCACAAAATTTAGAATAATTTGCATTGCAGTGGTTTAGGACAATCAGGATTTCATTCCATTTTTCATTTGTTTAAAGTTTTGAAATTGCTGCCTGCTTGTCCAGTCTCATGGTTCTCAGTCCAAGCAGGAAATTTTTGGGTCCTCCAATAAAAATGCAAATGTTTTTTTTTAACAATTTAATTGTGTTTTTCCTCTTTTTGAACAGTTGTATTATTTGATATTCTTTTTAAAACAGCCCTTCTAAATATGGTGTATGTAGCATGGAGCTAGAATATTTCCATGTTTCCTGTTGGCTTCATTATTGTCAGTAGTGAATTTCATTATGAGCTTGTATACTTGATTTTCCCTTTTCTTAACGGAATGTGACACTTCTGTTCCACTTCTGTTTTAATAGACTGCTTCAATACTCCTCAGAACTCAGAATTGTTTTCAGATTATTTTTTTAAATTTAACAGAATACTTTTGTCATGTTAGACTGGATTTATGCAAAGTATTAAAAAAGGAAAGGGATTAAAAAATAAAATAAATAGTAAATAGTAAAATTTACGAAGGCCTTGTTCAGAGGTGTGCAAAGATAAGGCTTAAAGTGGGTCTTTTCAATCCCTAACTCTTCTTCTTCAATTCTTTTTATATATTAATTTCCTTAGATAAACAGCAGTTCTAAGAGAAGAAACTGATATCATATATCACATATGAATGTGTGTATATATATTTAAGATTCTGTAAGATAATATATACCGTATTTTCACGACCATAAGCCNGGCCAACTTGTAAAATGTAGTGAAACTCACTTAACAATGCTCTTGCTTAGCAACCAAAATGTTGGCTCAGAAACTGTCTTAAAGCTGTCAAGTTACAAGACCCTTGCACCCCTAACCCTTTAGGGGAAAAAAACCCAGGGGTGTTCAAACTTGACAGCTTTAAGACTTGTCAACTCCCAGAATTCCTCCTCTCGCTCTTCATCTTGATGATGGGTGGATGCACGGGGGGAGGGAGCTGGAACCGGTTCTAAACGGCACTGAAGATTTGTGGAACCTCTTCTATAGAAGAGGTTAGACCTGGCAGGAACCCACCTCTGCCCGATCCTTACATGATAACTGCAAATGAATATTAAAAAGGTTTCAGTACTAACATATCTTGTTCTGTAAATCAAATAGATTATCACAATATGTTATTCAGATACAGCTACCATTATAGATAAAACCCCGAAATATTATCTTCAGCTTTTCCAAAAAATTACAGCTTTCCATAAACCCACAACTTCTGAAAACTTTGTGAAACTCATAATAGCAATGATAGGCAAGTGAAGGCTATGGCCTTCTTTGTGTATTATGTCATAATATTCAAGAACTGAATGTTAATATATACAATCTGGGTAAATAAGGTAAACAAAACAGATTCTAATAGCTTATTTTGACCAATGAGCTTGATGATAGTTTATTAGAGATTAACAATGTTACAGGTCTAGCTATTGAGATTTGGAGTGGGAGGGCAAGTGGTTAAGGCACCAAGCCAGAAACCAAGAGGTCATGAGTTCAACTCCTGCTTTAGTCATGAAAACAGCTGGGTGACTTATTCTGATCTAAATATGTGGATAGACTAGCAATTCGCTGAGTAGAACTTAAACTGGAAATTAACCACACTATTTTTCCAACACCCAGAACCCTAGAGAGCAGACACTGATTACCTTCACAGCACCTTTTAATGCATCAGATGGCCATGGAACTTCATAAAGTTCCCATTCCATGCAGCCATATAGAATATAACTACCACAACAATGGAAAAAATAATTTCCCAGTACATTAAAATGTCTTGGAAACCTCCAGCATATTACATCAACCACCAGGCATGACAGCAGTCATTAAACCAACAAAATGCCATCTTAAACAAATCCAGAGACACAACTAAAAAAAGAACAAGAATCATATATAACATACAACGCAAAGATTGTGAAAGCCACTGAGTAGAAAAACTAGGCAGAAGAAGTAGCAGAACACAGACACGAATAGACAAATTTACACGTAGGCAAATTTAATACTGCCCTTATTGTTGTATAGTAGTGAAAAATCTGGAGAAGTCTTGTAGCACCATTTCCAAGTAAAAAAAAAATATTATCAAGGGCAAGAAAGGGACATCTATTGGAATTTTTATTAAGTACAATGGAAAGTGCAGAGTTTTTCAGCTAACATGTAGAAGCCTTGCCCCATTAATCAAGGCTTCCAAGATTTTTGTTTTGTTTGTTTTAAACAAACAGATTCTGTAGCATGAAATTGTTTGAAAGCCACTGTAATAGTCAAAACAAATCAATTTCTTATTATAGTCAAAGGCAGCCTAAGGAAGGTGTTGGTGGGGTGTACAGTTGTTAAAAAGTATACAGAATAAAAATCTAAATCTAAGAAAAGTTATGAAACTCACAAACTACATATTTATTCACTATCAGTATGAGCAGGGATGGGCTGCTGGCCGTTTGCAGGGGTTCAGGAGAAACTTTTTGCTAAGATTCTGTGCAGTTCAGAGAACCCCCAAATCCCACTCCTGGCTGGACCTGCCCACCCCACCCTGCCCTTTCCAGGAGTCCCCACACAGCCTGTTTTGGATGCAGGTAAGCGCGAGGCATGCGCAAAGGCTCAGGGAGGGTGAAAAAAGGTCCTACTGGAAGTTTATGAAGATTGGAAATGGGCCCATTTCCAGCCTCCAGAGGGCCTCTGGAACCTGGGGTAGCCGTTTTCGCTCTCCCGGAGGCTCGAGAAAAGCCTCTGGAGCCAGGGGTGGTGGTGGTGGCAAAAATCCACACACACCCTGGCCATGGTGCTGGAGGCCAACTAGGCCACGTCCACCTAGCAACCATGCAGAGAACCCCTTGCTAAAATTTTTGAAGCCCAACCCTGAGTATGAGTTTATAGCAAAGTCCTGGGTAATTTTTCTAGATTATATCCTTTTTTAAAACAAGAAGATGTCTATTTCTAAACTCGCATTTGCAAAAATCTCACTGTCTTAAAGAAATCAGGAAGAAGTTTCCTCTCGGAAAACCACATTCAGATGGTTTCCGGATTTTGTGAAAATATATGGAGCTCCCTGACTTCACAAGAACAAGCATGGCGCACAATTTCCAATGTTCAGTTTCCATGGAAGCAACAGTATAATTTCGAATGCAGAGGGGAGAGAAAAAAGAAACAACAGAAATGATACATATCTTGATATACTTTTGATAATGAGAAATGTCTGAATAACACTGTTTAGTGATTGAAGAATTCGGAACTTGGCAATTAGGATAATGAATGAATCAAAGATAATTACACTGAAAGGGCATGTTCTGCTTTTGGTCTTTGTGATCTTAAATCTCATTTCAATCCAGTGAGAGTAGAAGGAAGAGCCATACAGGAGCCTAATTCAATTCCTTTTCCAGCATACTCAAAATATTAACAAGATGACATGGATATCTGAACTATGCAATGTTAATACACTAAATAATAGAACTATAATTCTGAAAACTGATCTTATGTCTAAGATATGTTGACTCTTTTCTAAAAACATGGGATATACCCATGATGGCATGCAGAGCCCTCTGCTGGCATGCATGCCATCGCCCCAGGTCAGATCTCTGTCACGTTTCTTTTATGACCTTCAGTTTCCCTGCAAGCGACGATACAGAAGCTCATGAAAGATAAAGATGTTACCTCTTGCTGCACTGCCCGTGTTGGGATGCCCTGCCTCCTGCCGGCCAGCTGGTTTTCGGGTCTCTGCTGCGCATGCATGCATGTCCATGCATGTGTGTATGTCTACTGCTATGTGCATGTTTGTACATGTGCACATCCACACCTTTCCATTTGGGCATGCGTGCGCAGATTGGGCACTCGGTGGATAAAAGGTTCACCATCACTGGGATATACCATGTACACTATTATGTCTCATGAATTTCATCATGTTTTGACATACTTAAAGAATTTCTGCAATTTAACTCGGCTAGGTGGCGCAGTGGTTAAATGCAGCACTGCAGGCTACTTCAGCTGACTGCAGTTCTGCAGTTCGGCTGTTCAAATCTCACCGGCTCAGGGTTGACTCAGCCTTCCATCCTTCCGAGGTAGGTAAAATGAGGATCTGGATTGTTGTTGGGGGCAATATGCTGACTCGGTAAACCGCTTAGAGAGGGCTGAAAGCCCTCTGAAGCAGTATATAAGTCTAAGCAGTATATAAGTCTAATTGCTATTGCTATTTTTAATAAACCATTTCAACAACTTGTTGACAATCCCTGAACTTTTTTTAAAAAATTCAGCTTTGTCCTACAATATGGGTTCAATGACACAGCTCAAAAAAAGGCTTAGTCTGGGTGACTTTGGGTCAGTCATTCTCCCCTTAGCCCTACCCACTTTGCAGAGTTGTCCTTGTGGGGAAAACAGGAGGAAAAAGGAGTCTTAGATATGCTTGATTTATTAAAAAAGAGTAAAGGTGGGATATAAATAAACAATTAAATAAATAAATAAAATAAGCACTATCCCAATAGATAAATATTCCATTTGAATTAAAAGTCGGTGAGAAAACATGTATTAAATTTTTTATTGACTGATCACTTCAGAACTACTAGTTCACACATTCAGTGTGCTTTATTTCTACATAAATAAAACATACAATATATATAATATCTAAATAAAAAGGTAACATATTTAAAAATATTCATCACTGATGTATCCTTGGAATTCAAGATGGCTTTTGTGTAGATCTGTCATCATTTTATCTCCAAAGAGATTCTATTGGATAACTAACTAAAAGAGGGAACAACTGAAGCAGAGAAACAAACAAATTCTATATAAAATATTTTACCCAAACTTAAATGAAGACCGTGAAATTATGTCATAGGACAAATAGGCAGAAAACCAGCAGATGGTATCCACAAAGACTGCAACTGCAACTAATTTTTCAACAGCTGAATATACCACCTTCCCAGTAGTGGGTTCCAGATTCCGTTGCAACCAGTACTGTTGGAATGGGGACTGCGCAGCACACACATGCGTCCTTACCTCTTGCAACACCTCCGTGAGCCTCCACGACACTCCAGCTGCTCGGCAGAGCATCGTGCAGGCATCATGCGTTCCATGCATGGAAGCGCTGAAGAGCTCAAATACAGGTAAGGAGCTTGGGCAAGCAGTGAGCTCCAGAGGGCCCACCGGAGCACCATACCGGAACGGTACCCAGTACTCCAGGCAGGCAACCGTACGCCCGCACTGGGCCATACCACCTGCAACCCACCACTGCACCTTCTGCCTCAAAGAGGCTGCCAATGCATGGGCCCAGCTGGAAATCATGAATGAAGATAAATATGCATTTCCCAGTATAATATTGTAGGAACCCATCCTCACCAGAATGTGCCATTAGGTCTAGAAGTCCCAGGTCCTAGTCCAGTATCTCCATCCATACTCTCTCATGGGTAACTCATCATCAAATATGAAATAGCTGTGAATTTCTTAATGATCATTTGCATTGGTAAAAGGCCAGTTGTGGCTACTAGATACCTGAGCCCACTTCAGAAATTCACAGAATACGATTCAATTTAATTATTATAAGCTTTCATCTAGTGTCTATGGAGATTCTGAGTCATCCAGGTCAGGGTTGTCCCAAAGGTGCCTTTTTCATACCTGAAGAGATGAAGAAGCTTCTTGGATGAGGAGCGAAATGTCTTCAAAGAAAACCTAGAAAGTCCAGTTGAAAAAAAGCACATTTGGGACTTTTATCTAGTGTTTTTATTTCATACTATTCATTTCCCAAATGTCTTTGGTCAAGACTGGGCCATAAGCAACTGCACTATTAAAGAATCGTTATTTTGCTGTTAAAGGACCACAGGGTTGTGTCCAGATGTGATGATATCAACATGGGTCAGGTTTAAAATTATATTGGCTTGGGTGTTTGGTTTATTGTTTTTAAATAACTGTGTGAAAACATTCAGAGGTTTGATGCACCTACACTATATTGCCAAAAGCATTCGCTCACCCATCCAAATAATCAGAATCAGGTGTTCCAATCACTTCCATGGCCACAGGTGTATAAAATCAAGNTTAATTGATACTGCGGCTTTTAATCCGGTGCGGCTTTTGGTCGTGAAAATACGGTACATACATACACAGTATGTATGCAGTTGTGGGCTTCAAAAATTTTAGCAATGGGTTCTCTGCCTGGTTGCTGGGTGGGCATGGCCATATGGGTATGGCCTAGTCAACGTCCTGCAGTTGACTAGGCGTTTTCACCCTCCCTTGGCTCCGGAGGCTTTCCTTCCTCCGGTAGGGTGAAAATGGCCTCCCCCAGGGTGTGGAGGTACTCCGGAACTTCCGGAAGGCCTGTTTTGCACCCTCCCCAAGCCTCTGTGTGGGCTGTACTTACCTGGCATCCCAAAAGGGCCATGTGAGGACTCCTGGGAGGGGCGGGGCAGGATGGACGGGGCCAGCCAGGGGTGGGATTTACGGGCAGATTCTTAGCTAGATGTTCTCCCATGCAAACCCACAGCAGCCCACCCTTGTAAATGTATGAATGTATGTGTGTGTGTGTGTGTGTGTGTGTGTGTGTGTGTGTGTGTGTATTAATGCAACTGCATTATACATCTCTTTCTTCATTTAGTCATCATTTACTATTGATTCATTTGGTCATATTATGAATTAGAAACTGTTATTTAGATATTCCCAATAACAAAGTATCTTTTCAAAATCCACTGAATTCAAATAACAGATATGTAAGCACATATATTTGTTTACCTATTGAGAGAAAGTTAAGTACATAATTTGCATTGATTGCAGCAACATCAATGGAACTTAACAACACTTAATTACATACAAAGGTAAGAAAGTTAAGGCAGTATTTCATACTTACTGGTTTGTTAACCCACAGGATATCCGCGTTGTCTGATAAGGATTCATCAGGACCAAAATCTGTTACAGGCTGGGCTTCTACCCTAGAACTTTGTTTCCTTTTCAGCATACTGAAATTAGCTTTGTTTATATAAAACTGTGAAATGTCCTAAAAAAAGAAAAGCAGGAAAATCATGCTGCAATCTGCTTGACAAGATTAAAGATTATGACATTCGTCCAGATCCCTGTTGTTTAAATTATGGAAATAAACACAGAAAAAAGACCATTACAGATTTGACTTTACTAGATTAGGCATGTACATGGCAGCCAATTTACTTTACATTATCCCCGTCTTTTTTGCTTCATTTAGTCATCATTTGGTACTGATTCATTCTGTCATATTATGGATTAGAAACTCTTATTTCGTTCTTCGCGCTAACAAAAAAAAATTAGGTAGGAATAATTTGTTACTAGATGTTTGCATGTCGCTCCTTTTAAGAAATCTAAATTCTTAGTTTACGAATCCTAGATTACTTGGGAAGAAACAGAATTGTTGCTGAGCCTAAGTATGAACAACATGCTAAGGAAATCATTTATTGTTTTTCCATAATGGTTTCCATTTGGATTTGGTACAGAACTTTAAAAAAACTATATTTATATGGATGCATGTTTAAAATAGACATTTACACATAGACACACCTACAATCGAAATATTTCTGTGTTTTGCTATCCATTTGATTACCAAAAGTGACCACTGAGTGTTTGCCACCACTACCAAATTAAGTGGCAGATATGTTAAAGATATGCAGCAGAGTGCTATGATAGAAGATAACTGAAGTTTCAAGATGCTTTCTTCACATCTCAGCCATGTCATTGTACAGTGTTATTAATAATTGCTTTAACATTTACTATTCATTATTGTAGCTTATTTGAAAAGCTGAAGGAAAGCGGGATTATAGGTTTGAGTAAGATCTTGTGTTGCTTGTATATAAAATTTGTTGTACAAAAACATTAAAAGTAATTCTCTTTGCTATATTTGACGGCTTCTGAGCAGATTTTAGCTATTACACAAACCATGATTTATATTATCACCTGCGTGCGAAAAAAATTATTGAATGAAAAGCATTTTACCCTTTAGCAAAAATAAATAGTGCTGTGTTGAAAAATGCAAAACCATGTATTCATATGTTACAGCAGTTTTCAATATAAAACACCTGGATATAAGCTGAACTGAACTGGCTGACAGGAAGTCTAATATTAATTCTGCTGATGTGATCAGGAGAACGGAAATACCAAAAGGTTTGGATTAGCAGGAATAGGTAGATTTGTAAAAGCAGTTTTACCATATTATAGGAATGAATGTGTGAAATTAGAAAAAATAACAAAAATACTTCCAAATAACTGTGATGAATATGTCTTGTGTATGTATTAGCATACATAATGCTAATTAAACTAAACCATGCCATGGGGTAGTATTTACTTACTGTCCCTACTAGTTCACAAATGTGACCGTGTGTGCACGCATACCCTTTTGGTGGAAAAAAGGGCCTAAATGGGATGCCATAGAGCAGGGGCGGGTAGGCGGGGCCATCTGCAATTTCCGCTACTGGTTTGGGCGAACTGGTCCAAGCTGGTAGAATACCAGTTCTGATACTATGCTAATATGAAGAAGGAACTAGTAGGAACTCAGTCTTTTTCTATAGATTTGACAGTCTAAAATGTGTAAACAGCTTTCAAAATTGCTTCTTCCCATACCTTCATTTCTTTCATTTAAAACTGGAAAACTGTAGGATAATTGACCGATGACAATTTTAAACCAACTTCTTTCTGACAGGTAGAATTATGGTTAGTAAATTCCACATTAAACTGCAAATCCCATTTTGGACATAATCATATTAAATTATGATGTACACTCAAAATGAGGGAGAGAAGAGGCAAGAAAAGAACATGAGGTACTATTACGCATTCTCCGCCAAAGTTTATGAAACTAGAAACTAGGTCCAAAAACTAACATAAAATTTTACTTTAATTTTAAATTTATGAGTGCTTAAAATCTGAAATGAGTTTTATAACTGTCTTAAACAAGCATACGTGTTTTTTATTTTAAAAATATTGGTCCTACATAACATTTATGCGTATAAACATAAACATATACCATATTTTACATTGTCCTGCAAACTTCTCAATTTAGCTATCTTTGAAAATAGTTGGCTCTTGGCGCTTCAGAATTTCTACCTGTGATAGTTGTGAATTCTGGAAATTATAAATTCAACCTATTAAAGAAATACTAGTCAAAGAAGAATTATTTAACTCATTAAATAATGATTAGGTTGATGGTTTGTAATGTCCTGGATCTATTCCCCCCCCCTTTTTTTTGAAGATGGGAATCACATTAGCTCTTTTCCAAAGCTCAGATAGTTCCCCAGTGCGCCAGGATCCTTGAAAGATACAGTTTAATGATTATGAGAAAACATCTGCCAGCTCCTTCAGAACTCTGGAATGATCATGTAATTCATCAGGTTCCGGTGATTTGAACTCCTCAAGATCAGACAGGTGTTTTCTTACCATTTTCTTGCTTAGTTTAATTTTTATTTCTAGTCTGTCTTTTACGGTTATGTTTTTGGGCTATAGTTTCTTTTTACATGAAGACTGATGCAAAGAATGAGTTAATCAGCTCTGCTTTCTCGGATGTATTTGATGCTACTTGTGGGAATATAAGTCAGAATTCCTACAATACATGGCAGCAAACCTGACTGTTTACTTAATAGGACACAACAGGAAGTCATGTATTAGGCCAGTGATGCTGAACCTTTTCGGCACCGAGTACCAAAAAGTTTGCATGAAAACGTCTCGCGCACATGCTCATCAGCACCACGCTTTGGAAAAGCTGAACTTTTGGTTTCTAACATGCATATGTGCCCAACGATCACCTAGCTGGCACGCATGCCCAGGACTATTTTTGGCACTGCCGTGCACACGAAGGGACCGCACTCCAGAAAAGCTGAACTTATGGGTTCTGGCATGCATGCACACCTGATAATCAGTTGGCCGACGTGCATGCACAAACCAGTTTTCAACACTGCTGTGCACGTGAAGGACAGCTGATCATCAAGCATGCATGCATGCCAGAAACCAGGAAGACAAACAGGCAAGGCTATGCGTGCCGGGCGACATGCCTTTCGTGTGCCACTTTGGGCACATGTGCCATAGGTTCACCATCATGGTATTACACTGTGTGATAAAATTATTGATCAGTCTCTGTCTCGTACTCTCTGAATATGTGTGAGATACATATATGCGCACATAAACATATGCTTTCCCCATCCCAGTGGTGGGTTTTCAAATTTTTTTAGAATCTCTTCTGTAGGTGTGGCCTGCTTTGTGGGAGTGGCTTGCCAGCCATGTGACTGGGTGGGAGTGGCTTGCAAGCCATGTGACTGGGTGGGCATGGCCAACTTNGCCATCACTGGGCTAGAATATCAACCTTTTACTGATGCAAAATTTGGGGTAGAGATTTTCTTTATCTGAGGCACACAGATGTTTGATAAGGAAAAAAAATAGTATTTATCCATGTTAAAGTCTAACAAGGCTTCTATAACTTCCACAGCAATATCTAAAACTTTTCAAGGCTTATATTGATTCCAATGCCATCAGCTATAATCAACTATGTAGCTGTATCTTTACAATTACAGATAATGCAAAAGAGCATCTGAAGACATCTGTTATGGAGGTCTTCCAAATTCTCAAACAGTCCCAGCTCTGGCACAACAAGAACACACCCCACCTCACCTGCCCTATCAAATAACAGGTAGGGCATTTACAATCTAGATTTGTACCACTGCCATTTTATCCTTAACAGGGAAATCCATTTTAGCTCAGCAAATGCCATCTCAAAAACTATAACGTATCGTTACTTTGTGATTCAAGCGATGGCCCCTACTGTTACTGGTGGGTCTTTCTGATTTGCCCCTTGCTCAAGGCTGCCATTGTCACTACATGGTAATGTGATGAGAAAAAGAGGTTGGAACGCAAAATTGCTGGTTTGTCAGCATTTAAAATCACAAGAGTTTCTAAGAAAGGATGTCAGCTGCCATGCTGGCTGCAAAACTTATTAAGAGTTTCAATGCATTTATTTGTTTATTTTTTAAAGAAACTGACCTCCTCATTGCATAGCTTCCTTTCAAGCTACTGATGGGGGTCTTTTTGTTTTTGTTTTAAACAGACATGAATATTTGTTCACAAAAAGCTGACCGGAACAGAGTAGAGTGGAATATCACCGATTTCTTTTCAGTGTAAGAAAAACACAAAAGAAAGTTTGTTCAGGGACAGACTCAGCAGAATGTGAGGTAGAGGAATAAGGCACCCAATTTAGGGCCTATCTAGAATTACAGCAGAAAAGCATGGACTGCCCAACTATTATGCTCAGCTATTGGTTACCAAGTAGCTAAAGCACAAAAATGGCATCTTGATATTCAAGATCTGCAAACAGCCCATGCTAAATTTGAGTTTTGGATTCGGTGAGGAAGAATTGGGAGATGAAAAGCCTGGCCATTTGCAAGATCACAGTTGATGCTCATGTATCCTTTCACACACATACAGGCTCCTTCATGGTAAAAAAAAGGTTAAACAATGTAATGAAAGAAATGTCTTTTGAGGGAAAAAAAAGTAAACATAATCAATAAGATGGTTCCGAAGGCTAATTTTACAAACAATGAGTATTATATGTAATAGACAGCTTCAGAAGAGGAACATAACATGATTTGCAGATTTCATTTAAAGGTGAAGGTTCCCCTCGCATATATGTGCTAGTTGTTCCCGACTCTAGGGGGCAGTGCTCTGTTTCAAAGCCAAAGAGCCAGCGCTGTCAGAAGACGTCTCGTTATCTTACCACCAAAAGTGGTTCAGATTTTTCTGCTTGCATTTTTACATGCTTTCGAACTGCTGGGTTGGCAGAAGCTGGGACAAGTAACAGGAGCTCACTCCGTTACGCGGCCCTAGGGATTTGAACCACTGAACTGCTNGGTTGAGTTGTGAGCCGCCCTGAGTCCCCTTCGGGGGAAAAGGGCAGCATATAAATAAAATCAACATTCAACATTTCTTTTGCTAAGCAAGACAATTGTTAAATGAATTTTGCCCCATATTACAACCTTTCTTGCCACAGTTGT